CATTTTCCAGCAGGATAATGCTAGGCCGCACACGTCTTTGTCCGCTCGGCAAAAATTGATGGATATTGGTTGGGAATTGATGTTACACCCACCATATAGCCCTGATCTCGCGCCATCGGATTACTACTTATTTCGATCCCTGGACAACTCCCTTCGTGATAAAACTTTTAATGATGATGACGCTGTAAAATCTCACTTAACTCAGTTTTTGGCCGAAAAGGATCAGACTTTCTACGAGCGTGGAATTTTCAAGTTGGCAGAGAGATGGCAAATCGTCACCGAACAAAATGGAAAATACATTACAGATTAAACTTCGTTCCAAGTAAAAAAACATTTTTTATTTCATTGAACAAATCGGTTATTACTTAGTTGCCAAGCCAATACGAAAAATAATTAAAAATTGGCCTACCTTCTCTTTTCTCCGGGCATCCGATGTTCTTATTCTTATTTACGCGTAATATAAATTTTCGGAGGGAAATTTCAGACAAAACAAAGAAAGAGGAGTCGGAATGAACGAACACGGTTTATCAAAAGAAGTCGGCTAAGGCTTGTCTCGTGTCTGTATTTTTAATGGCATCTCAGAGCCGCCTGGATTCTCACTGTTGAACGGGTTAAAAAACTCTTGTTTCGCGTGAATCGATAGCGATTTTGTTAGAAATGAATTCGACCGTAATTTACTCGACGAGTATACTCGGCTCGCTTTTAATTGTGCAAGCGGAGACACATCTTCGAAGCAAGATTCCACCCTAAGGGCATAAGAAACCAGTACATCGCTACCACCCTTGCACGATAGACAAACAAGCGAACTGATCATTTAATTGCATTAATTCTTTCCGCCATAAAACATTAACGCTAGATTTACGGAATCCGTCAAAACAAATCCGGGTCACAAATTTTTTCATTTACGATTACTCATATCGCAAAAGATACATTCATGAGTTATTTATTCAATTTATATGTTACTCACGCGGCAAATGTTACAATAAAAATGAACAAATAATTCACAAAATTTCCAAATAAAAATCAGAATAAACGTCTTATCGTTACTTTCATAAACTAATACGAAACAGCTGTTTTTCGTGCTCCGTAAATCTAGCGTTAATATTAGGTCTACCGGAAAGTTCTGTCTGATAATGTCATTGCAAATTTCAATAGATATGCACATATTCGTTTGAGACATATATTTTTGAAAAATGTTGCTCACAAATTGCCATCACGCTAGCAAGAGGCCATAAGTAACGACGGAAATTATATTGTACAATATATATATAAATATTACTGAATTTATGAAAAATCTATTATTTCCTTTCATTTCTCAAACGGACAGAACTTTCCGGTAGACCTAATATATAATACACGTTAGAAGCTACGTTCACAAAACGTTCGAAATAACAAAACGCCGGACACATCGTTCCCCGGCGTTGCGCGTTAATTTCGATCAGTTTACTCACCACAAACAGCGTTCGTCGAATAATCAACCGCGCAACGCTCCAAACTTCTTCGCCGCTCCGAGGGGTTCCCTAAATCGCCGCAAACCACCAACAAAAACTATATCTCCATTCAAACCATCACCGTTCGCGGGAACCGGCTACACGTTCACTTCGGTGTCATCCTTTAAACGAGAACCAAACACCGGCGCACACTTTCTGCCTCTCCACTTTAGGTCCCTCGGCATCTGGCGTCGGGGTACCCCATCGAGCTTGCGAACCTGTTTTCGTTCGATTTCTTTCGACCCGTAGGAGCCTAGGTTTCCCTCGAGTGCCGAAAATATATTTCTATACGATTCGCGAGGTTCCAGGCGGTCCAAGAGACCTGGCACGTATTCCGCACGCGGGACACCGGGATAAGACACTTGTCCGGCAACGGCCAGCAGAACTCGCCAGAACGAAACGCGAACGTGCAAAGAGCTCCGTGGTACGGCACTCGGGAAGTGCCCCATTGTTCGAAAGGGGGGAACACCGACGGCCAACCGAACGCCTTCCTGGCCCCGCTTCCGAGTAAGTATTTACTTTCGTCAGGTGGAAATTGCGCTAGTATGCGTGTGCCGCGAGCGCGCACGCTACCCTCCGCTTTCCCAGCCGCGTGAAAGCCGAAATTCGACGACGGCCGGGAAAACCGATGGCTTCCGTTCCGTGCCGGGGATCACCATTGTTCTTCGATTTTTCATCGGGACCTCGCTAGTAGTTGCCAGCTGTATCGACGCAGGTATCAGCGATTACGAAAGAATCCGTTTCTTTTTGGCGCGTTTCTGGTTGCTGTGGCCGAGTTGTGGACCTTCATGCGAAACGTTGTCCTTATAATTTTAGTAGGTCGAACGCAGTACAAGAAATTCTCTCCGATTGTCCCTCAGCTTGTGAAGAAAAATCGACAATTTGGGGAGAGGGGATTATTCGTGCCTCGAGGCTCGATTTTGCAGTCGCCGATTGTCAATAACTATAAATACGAGCCGCGACGCTCGAATAATCGTGACACCTTTTCTTAACCCTTTGTACTCCGCCGTCCCCTCTCGTGGGACATCGTAATTCTAGCATATCACTCTAATGTCCCCTCTCGTGCGACATTAAAGTTTATTAGTGATTACGGGGAATTGAGTTATTTCAGCGCAACTTTTTCAGACATGCATGTTTCCCTGAAGTTTTCTCTTGAAATGGCACAAGAAATCAAATCAAAATATAGTAAAAAGCGGGTTTTGACGAGATCGTGAGAGGCGTGCTCACGACGGTCCGAGCACTTCAAAGGCGCCATTTGAAAAGAGCGATAAGGCAAGTTTGTAGAAGAAAGGTCGGTATGCGAACATAGCACGCACTGTATAGTGAGATTTATAATCATAAAATCTGGTGGAAAAGATTTTCAAAGCTGAACTCAGTCTGGTTTGAAGCGTCGAGCGGTATAGATAGATCTAACGAGTGAGAAAATCGGAAAAGTGATTCTTCTCTTGGTAAATAAATTGTTTGGTAAAAGTTTTTTTGGTAAATATCATCTTGTGAGTTAGTAATAACAATTAGAAATTTTCAACCTATGTATTTATTCATATTTTTTATTAGAACAATGGCAAAACGTTCAAACACGAATGAGTCTCATGACACAAGTAGTAGCGAAGATGAGCTCCAGATAGACGTTTATACAGATATGTTAGAAAGACTAACTGTAGAAGGTTTTCTTCTACAGTTAGTCTATCGTTTTGATAGCAGTGATAGTGATATCGTCCAAGCAACAAGGCGACGAGAGAAAGAGTTCGCATAGATAGCGATTACAACAACAAAACAAAATTATAAAACAAACAATAACAAAATTATAAAAAATAAAATATTGATTTTTTTGCAAATTTCTCGATTTCAGCCAAATTCATATAAGTCCAATATCATTATAATATGTTAGTTAGTTCCAAAACCATACTAAATAATACGAGGGTCTGTAAATGCCCGTTTCTGCCGAAAAGTGGCGCCGACTAGCTGGTAACCAACGTCCAGAATGGTTCGTAGTGCTAAGGGTTAAATTGCCCATTTTTGTTCTCAAACTTGAGGCACAATTGGAGAGATAATTCATTGTATATTGAAACTCTTCGACTCTTTTGGTCTTTGTAGTATTTAATATCATGGCAGGGGAGATCGGTGATGTAACACAGAGATCGTTGTAACACGTTCAATATCTCAAAATATATGATAGATATTATTACACGGTTCAGAGATAAACAGCGCGTCCCAAAATTATGGTATTTCTGGGAAATAAGGGGTTCCTGAGGTCATACGAAGTAACTTTTTCCTTTACAAAAATTTTCTCCGAGGCATCGTTCACGAGTTATTAACGAAAAACAGTGACCAATGAGAGGCGAGCTTAAAGAGCGGACGAAGTCCAGTTATGCTCATTGACTCGGCCATCTCGCACCAGTTGATCTCGCCTCTCATTGGTCACTGCTTTTAGTGAATAACTTGTGAAGGAAACGGTGGATTGCATTTTCGCCAAGGAAAAAGTTACTTCGAATGACCTCAGGAATTTCCTCATTTCCCGGAAGTAGTATGATTTTGCGACACGGAAAAAAGGAGATTGAATGAAGAGTTGAAGCATTTGGAAACAAAGGAATGTAAGTGACATTTCAACGCTTTCCAGGTGCCTTCTAATGGCTAATAATGTTGTAGATATTTCAAGATTCTCAACATCATTCCGGTTCGTGAATATTCGCAGATAACATCATTCATGATATCTATATTGTCAATATTCGTTGACACCACTTCTGAATTGTTTGTATTTAATCATTTTCGCGTATAAATAATCTGAGTTGTTCAAGCTTTGTTTTTCCAATTAAATGAAAAACGAATATTCACTTCGAAAGATCTTTAACATTGTTTTCGTATTTATTTGTAAATATTTCAGAACTCGGATATGTATTTTGATGTTTCGAATTCGTTGCAGAAAATATGTCGAATAAAATCTAGAGGGTAAAGGTCAAAGTTTATGTATTCATTATATTCACATATCGACTCTTGTTAACAATAACATTTTAACTACTGAGTTTCGGGGGTTACATAATTCATTATTGTTGTATTCTAAAAACACTTTATATTCTAGAAACACTTTGCGGAGGTGGAACACCCTATTATCTCGTTCACATCACAAACTGATTCTATAGGGACTGAGAACTTGGCATGAATTTAGTTTAAACCAACCAAAATATATTATTCTAAAATATTTCTAAGAAAAAATTAAAACACGTCCAATTAAACAAGCTTTCTATCATACCGCGGGAATTTACTATGCACACGTTTTTAAGGGTCGTTTATTGGGTTATGCAAATTCTAAAAGATCTGGCTTTTCAAGGATGACATTTTTTTCCATCTAAATTCCACAACATGAACAGAACGCTTTCAAAAATTTCTTCTTCAATCCGTGGCATAGTTTCCTCCGTCGCGCGAGTTATTTATGCTTATTGTTGGTCTAGGTTGTCACTCGACGATACGGACATCTTCGAGATCAAACGGTTTGAAACGATCTTCTTGGGTCTTCATCCGAAACAGATTGATTTCCCACCGTGAAGTACACGGTAAATTGTCGATTCGATGGAACACTCTTTTCATCAGCAACATAATCTGGGTAACCCCTCCTTTCTTTAATAATTTCATTCAGTTGAAAATAACGTATGGATATATTTCGAAACTGTTTTATTGGGTTGCGACTAAGTAATTGCCGATTTGTTCAATGAAATAAAAGATTTCTTTTTACTTGTAACGAAGTTTAATCTGTAATGAATTTTCCATTTTGTTCGATGACCTTTCGCCATCTCCCTGACAACTTGAAAATTCCACGCTTGTAGAAAGTCTGATCCTTTTCGACCAAAAACTGAGTTAAGTGAGATTTTACAGCGTCATCATCATTCAAAGTTTTACCACGAAAGGAGTTGTCCAGGGATCGAAATAAGCGCTGGAAAATGGCACCTTTACGATTGACCAATTCTTGTCGCTTTTCCTTGACCGCTGCATTCAATTTATCCAGTTGCTAACATTCACGGATAATAAAAAATAACATAATAATAATAATAATAATTTTATAATATAACATTTACGGATATCATAAAAATGGGAGTGAGAGACAACTATAACTGAAATCGGCAATTACTTAGTTGCCAAC